GCCTTTGTCTGCAGAGATGCTCGCTCGGGCTCTGACCTGCAGAGCGGGGTGCGGTGGAAACGGCGTATGGTGTTTTCCACACTTCCTTAACTCACCCAAGTGCGAGGGTGTACCTGTGCCTTCAGCGTGCTCCTGCACGGCCGCGGACTGCCTCTGAGTTCGAAGTGAATTAGCTGGACCATCTTTTGGGATAGTCCCAGCTTCTGTCTTCATCGCTCTTGCTCCTTACGAGGTATATTGGTGGTCAGAATGTGTTATTAATTATTTGTGGCCTTGACTTTGAAGCACATCGTGTACTAATTACGTAACGTTTGGTATGGAGGTTTTGAGTTCTGGAAAGCACTGTGGCATTGAGAGCATGTGAAATTGTCCACTGGAACATAGTGTGAACGGGACGAAAGCTCTCAGGCTTAAGATTTCGAGTGAAGGAAGAACAGATATTTAAATGATCTTTCATTAGGTTCATCCTTCCGAACAGTTGCTTGAAGTATATTACAGTTATTGTAGAAAATACTGAATAAGAAAAATAATTCGGAATATTCTTTGCAATGTTTACGTAAAGCTGGTAATAACAGGCAATGCCTTGTGCGTGTGGTTAGCTTATTCACAATAGCTTTTTGGCTTATTGGAGGCAAGAAGAATAGCGGGTTATCAGCTGAGAATATTTCTTCTGTCAGGGGAACCCTTTCGTAAAATAAAATGCATTAGACTTGTCTTTTTTTATTCCCCAAGACATCCAGTTTACATATGTGTCAGCAAGTGGTAACTGTTTGTTACATGCCTTGTACAGACTTGTATCAACCTACAGAGAGATGTACGGCTGTATTGCTCTGTAAGCCAAGCCCTCTTAAAGGCTGCCTTGGAGAGTATGTTAGAAAATACAGCCCAGCTTCTCTACTGGGTTAAAAAGGTACTTCATGCTTGTAATACGGTAAGTTTCAAAAGTTTGTTATGCAAGGTTGATTGTTCAGATTATGTATCAAGAACTATCTGCTGTTGTTTAATTTGCTTATACTTCTGTGATGTCTAAGCTCAGGTAGTTTGTAACTGAATGTTCTGAATGGTTCAGCTAGAATTCTCAAAAAGTTTTAACTGGTTTCAGGTTGAGTATCTGCTAACCACAGGTAAATTTGAAGTGTGGCAATGAAGAGTGCTGTCAGATTTCTGCCTTAGAGATGTTATCTCATATGTTGGGATATCTTTTATTTTAAGTTTTGAAAAGCAGTCAAAGCTCCTTAGATTCTTTTCCCTTATGCTTGTTTGAAAAATATTTTGGGGGGGGGAGGAGTAAGGTAGGTTGGGAGTGTGTGTTTTGATTTCTGCTTCAGCAACAAACTGTGCTTCCTTATCTGTCACTTGGTCTGCTTGTGCTTCTGTTCCCTTCCTGTGCTATAGAGGTAGTGCTTTTTTACTTCACATGCTGTTAGAAGCACATCTTAATCTCCTACAGAATTTGTATACTACAATGGTGGGATTCATAACAAGTACCTAGGAGACAAACTCATGGTTGGGTTTTTTTTTTTATTCTTAGCTGCAGGAGCTCCCAGTAAAAAGTGGAGAATGTTTCTTGAACTCTTGATTCAAGGGTTTGTATTTTGCCAGGCCTTATGTCTGAGTAGCTTGGTTTTCTCAGTTGCTTAGAAAACCAGTAAGCAGCATGTGGCTTTCAGTACAGCCTGTGACTGTGTCACTTGACAACATTAGAAAACAAAGTTTTTCTTGCACGAGAAAGAACAAGACCTCTGGAATAATCCCTTGATCACTGATGGGGGGCGCATGGCTACATGAGGCAAGAGATTCAGGTTTCTCATGTTCCAGTTCCGGATGTAGATTAGTGGCTCCTTAACTCTTCCAACTTGTGTGTCGTTCCCCTTCACAAGCCATATTTCTGCAGTCAAGCATGTTGCTACCCACATGAGGGCTATGTTCTTAGTTTTGGGCTCTGCTCTGCTCTGTCGTCCGAGTTCCAGGTACATACCAAATGCCCATCTCTATGGTCTGGCTGTTTTGGTTTTTTCTTCCTTACTGGAGTTACAGTTTCTGCTATGGACTCAAGAAGCCTATCTGAAGAATGTTTTAGAAACTTCTTTAGACAAATCTGTTCCTGTGAAAAGTTTTCTGGGGTCTCTTGTTTGTTTTTTTAATATTACTTTTATCATAAAGTTCACAGTGGTCTCAGGTCTGCCTACATAGCTTAATCTGCTCTTCCCCCCCCTCCCCCCCCCAATATATGAATGAAACAGGAGACACAATCTGCAAACGAGTGAAAGCTTTCTGCTTTAAAATCTAGTTAATTGTTAATATTGTAGTGTCTGGGCAGAGCTTTCCTGACAGCTTTTGTAGTTTCGTACTTGCTTTCAATGTTTTTTTTTTTTTCCTAAGTGTTACTCTCCCATTTATTTGGGAGAAGATGTAGCTCTGCACTCCCATAATCCCATGAGCACTTGTTGCTGCTTTGCTGGTGAGGAAGATGGCTCTGCTCTTCCCTGGCAGCTTCTTCCTCTTCCATGCTTTCTTCTTCTCTAGTGCTTTGTAAGCACTTAAGCAGCTACACATAGACCACAGTTAGACTGATTTGCATTAAAACTATCCTGGCTTTTGTTCTAGGCTGGAGTGAATCTACACAAAATGGCTTGACTTAGTCTAGTGTTCTGCCACCACTAGAAAGAGTTGGTTGTACTCTTCCCCTGCCCTCTGTGCAGGGAGTATAACTGCCAAGCTGGGAGGGGAGGGAGGTTCCTAGGTTTCCCCAGCCCCCTGACCCAGCTGGATTGTTGGCTGTGGTGCGATTCCTTGGTGCCATTCTGGTGCTCATAGACTTTGAACTGAGCTATCTCAGCACACTGACCCACCAGAATTTGCTCACTAGTTTGTGGAGTAGTTTTCTTCCTGGGTTGAACACCAGCGTCAGCAGCGT